TACATCACTCTGAATTGATTTTCGATTCTTGTCGAACGTCCATTTTTACCAGTTTGGCTTGTTGTGGCATTCTATTTAGTGGACTGCTTTTCCATAGAACATTATTTCTTTTATAGTATATAATAACTTGATAACAGTAACTGACATTTCATTCGCATTTCACAATTTGCAAAGCTCTTTCTTTGCCTTATCTTAGCTTCCTATTGTATTTTYCTACATGGTATTGCAGGAGGCAGGACTTCCTAAAGAAAGAACAAGAAATACTTCGGTCTAGATCCTGCGTGGACTGTTCCAAACTTGAAGAATTGCTTTAACCTCCAGGAACTTATGTACCTCTGTAAAATGGGCAGGAAAAAGATAAAATGAGGATATCTATGTAAAGTACCTTAGAGCACACAGCCTGGCCTATAGTCGTGGTACTAAATAATGATAATTTCCTTTGTTTGTGCAATTACAAATAACAATTACTAGTTTTTAAACTTCTCTATGTGACCCTGTTTCTCTGTTATATTTCTGGCTGGCTTACAATCAATTATTTTTTTTTCCTTCTGTGAGCCAATTACTCTATAGGAAAATAGTTTCATTATTTTACCTTGAAGGAAATATTAATTATTGAATATACCTTAATTGATTCATAAGTTTCCAGATGAAGTAGAGAMTTCTCAATTTTTCTGAAGGGATGATTCCACCCAAATAACAGAAACAAAACCTGACTTCATTTTGATAACACAAATGTRACCATATAATTATCTCACAGGAGAAGACAAACCCTTTGAAATATTCATGTGTTCATTTATTGACTTATTCACTCATTCATTCATGTGAGTACCCAATAAACATCTGCTGGGTGTTGCGTATGTGTTAGGCCCTGGCGAAAACATTGGCTGTTGGAAGAATTTTATGGAGAAGATACATTTTGGGAGAAAAATCAAAAAAGGCAAATTGACAACAACACCTGCTTTATTTTAGTCGATTGCATCTGTTGTCAAAAAGAAACCGAAATGAATCTACTTAGGGCAGCTCTAAGGGGACTGGATGAAAACAGAAATTAAGGAGTTTTATTTTAGTCTCGTTGGCCAAGTAGAGTTGAAAATGGCGGCAGCACAGACACCGCCCCTCCCCCACCTGCCCTGCAAATGACTCTTCACCTGATCCCCTTCCCACCCAGTGCATGTTGAGAAGTTGGTGGGACTCCACCCCCCCCACCCCCCTGAACTGTGTGCAGTTTATACATTTTCTGGGCTTCACAGCCGACATCAGGCTTTCAAATTGACATCTTTCTGGAAGGGGGCTGGTGAACTGCTGGGAATCTAAGCCACTGACTTAAACAGACCCCCCCTCTTTTTTTTCTGGTGCTGGGGATGAACCCAGGTCCTCACACATGCTAGGCAAGTGCTCTACCACTGAGCCACATCCCCAGCCCCAGGCCCTCTCATTTTAGAGCACTGTATACCCTTGTTATCTGCTGTTCCAGTTTCTGTGGTTTCAATTATCTATGGACTCAGTTGTCCACAGTCAAGCATAGTCAATACAGCACAATAAGGTGTTTTGAGAGAGAGAGAGAGAGAGAGAGAGAGAGGCCACATTCATGTAATTTTTATTACAGTATATTGTTTTAAATATTCTACTTAATTAGTTATTCTTTTTAATCTCGTGTGTGCCTGATTTATAAATTATAGGTCTGTTTGGGTAGGGGGAAAAACATAGTATACACAGGGTTTCATACTATCTGCAATTTCAGGCATCCTTTGGAGGRGTCTTAGGATATATTTTTCTTGGATTAGAGGAGACTAATGTATTCAACAGAGTAACCTGCCGCCCACAGAATGCTTTTTGGGTTATGAAGTAGTTTACTAATTAGTTATTAGCARTTAATATAAATCCATAAAAATGTATGGCTGATTTTATGATTAATGGCATGAGGTATTAATAATAACCAATGGCATTAGTAATGACTAATCATATAATTGATCAGTAACAGAAAAATCTTTCAAGTACCTTTCAATGCAGTTTGGATATTAATGATATTTTAAAATTTCACAAATAGCAATGACCCTATAATGAGTGAGTATTGCTTGGGCAGAAGTGTCGCAGTCTGGCTGGGCACAATTCACAAGCCACTTGGCACCACAGGAGCTCTTCAGGAATTCCCTCAGAGCCCAACTGCCACTACTGGCTTCCYTSGAGCCTCTCAASCCCCTCTCCTCCCGCTCTTGAGGCCGATTGGCTGGGTTGTGTGGGCGGAGCCAAAAGAGTCCCCCAATGAGCAGCTCCGTGGTCTGAAAGGGCGGGGAAAGAGCCCAATGAGCATCACCGCATCACCAATCAACTGGCAGCTGGAAGTTTGCTGGGGCTGCTGTGGGCCAATCAGCTGGAAGTTTGCTGGGGCCACTTCGGCTGTGGCTCTCAACACAGAAGGCTCTGCCTTGTATATAGACTGCTCTGGGCTGCAGGTAGCTCTCCCGTGTCTACCCACATTTGGCCCAAGGTAACTACCTGGAGGTAATTAGTGCATATTGACTGAACTAGGCAGAACCGCACTCTGGCTCTCTCCTTGCTCCTATGGGGTAAAGCCCTCTGGAATTTAGACCAGAGCGAAATTCTGTAGAGCTTTTGTTGCTTGAGTTAAAAGAGTRGAATTCAGATGCCTTCAATGGCCCATGTGCTCTTGCCCTGGGCCTCGCTTGGTGAGTCACTTCTCTTTCCTATGCGCCTGCTTCTGGCCCCACTTTGGTGCACCTGAGGCCCCTCTGGGGACACTTGACAAGATGTCATGTCTGGAGGCTGCAGCGTCCGAGTTCCTGGGTCTGATGTAGGTGGCCCGGGTGTCTCTGTTGCTACCTTTCCCTTCTTGTTTCGTGTTACACAAACAGAAACAAAACGAACAAAATTGATTGGTGTAAGGTCACAGGTCTAGCCCATGAGAGACCAGAYGAGACTGAAAAGAAATGAGACTACAGCCTAAGGCAATTAAAAAGGGTTCTGTTAGAAATTGACCGTAATAACCCCATGTGACGATTCTTTTAGAATGGTGTCTGGCATATCACCTTGAACATGGGGTTTAAAAACCAAGCTGTAAATGCTTCGTAGCTAGTGGCTTTGCTTTGGATTTATTTATTTATTAATTTTGTATCACACATGCCTAACGCAGTATGCATAATACAGAGACCAGTGCAGGCAGAGGCACAGGAAAAGGCTCTCAACTGGAGCTCAGGAAGTCCTTTTGGGAAGATCGGAAGGGGAAGGTCTGTTGACACCAACTGGCCCATGGAATATTAGTTCTTGTTCATTCCCATCTGCGGTATCCAGGAGTGGACAGGGGTGTTATCAGAGAGCTTGGACCTTAGTTAATACCAAGAATCACTGGGGCAATTAGTTAGGTCCTCCCCAGGCCTGGMTTTGAATGCCAGGAGGACTCAGGTGAGAGAGCTGCAGGGCTGCCTTCTGTGTGTCCCTTCTGGAATTCTAGAATACCTGCATGCTCCTGGTATCACCCTTGCTCACTTGCCACAGAGGTGTCACATGGGAACTTGTGAAACTGCCTCAAAATCCAGGGGGAGCTAGGCACTAAGTCCCTGCCCCTTTGGGGAGAGGGCTATGGCGTGCTCTGTGCATCTCACTGGGCTCTTGCTCTCCGCCTCTGATGTTTAATTCAGCATCCTTAAACTGACACCTGAATGCTAGACAAGTCTTCTAAAACCTCCCTTTTGCTGGGCACAGTGGCACACGCCTGTAATCCCATCAATGGAGGAGGCCGAGGCAGGAGGATTGCAAGTTCAAAGCCAGCCTCAGCAGATTAGTGAGGCACTTAGCAACTCAGTGAGACCCTGCCTCTAAATAAAATATAAAAAGGAGCTGGGGATGTGGCTCAGTAGTTAAGCACCCCTGCTTCAATCCCCAGTACCAACCAACCAACCAACAAACAAATGAATAAATAAAAATAAAATAAAACCTCCCTTTTCAGCGTGCCCTCACTGAGGTATCCACAGTGGGCCCTAATTGCCAAAAATCCAAGCTTTTCATCTGGGTAGTCAAATCCCTTATCTTCTGTTCCTCCTGTTTAGACTGTTTGTTCCTTTATTCCAATTTAATTTTTCATCATGAAATATTTTACACAGAAAATACAGATTGAGTATGCTGTACCTTGGAACCAGAACTATTTCAGATTTTTTTTTATATATTCTGGAATGTTTACATATGCATAATGAGCTATCTTAGGGCTGAGACTCAAGTCTAAACATGAAATTCATTTATGTTTCAGTTGTACCTTATACACATAGCCTAAAGGTAGTTTTATATGTGGTTTTTAGTGCACCTGCATTTGGACTGCAGCCTATAACACGAGGGCAGGTGTCAATTTCCTCTCTGGTGTCCTGTGAGGGCTCAGAGTTTCAGATTTGGGAACATTTCTGATTTGGGGTTTTTGGATCAGAATGCTCAACCTCAATTATGAATGCTCAAGTACCCACCACTCAGTTTAAGAAAAAGAAAAAAAAAAAGGAAGTTATAGCCGAAGCACTTCCTGTGCTTTGCAGATGGTGGAGAACAAATCTGGGGGCAGCAACAAAACAGTTTGGCAAAGTGCTTAAGAGCAAGGGTTTGGGAGTTAGGTAGACCCAGGTGGAATTCTGGCTCTGCATTTCCTTGCTGGGCAAATTCGGGGAAATCACACAAACTCTCAGAGCCCGAATTTCTTCATCTATAGAATGGAGATGGTAAGATGTGTACCCAGGTACCTCCCAGAGTTGTGAAGATTTGGTGGAAGAGTAAGGAAAGCATTTTGTCCAGTGCCGAGCATATGGGGAATGCCCAGCAAGTGGTCATCATGGTCACGGTGGCAGCAGCTGGACTGTGATCATTTTGGACTTGGTGCAGTTATAGAAATGGAAACCAGGGGTGTCGTTTCCCTGCCCACTCCAGGGGCAAGACGGAGGCTGAGGGTAGATGTACCTTCCTTGGTSGGCGTTGTGGGCGGTTGATGCGGTGCTTGATGATTTCAGGTGCTTGCCCTGGCTGTGAAGCAGCTGTTCCCAGAGTTTGAGTTTATGTGGCTGGTGGATGAGGCCAAGAAGAACCTGCCTTTGGAGCTGGATTTCCTCAACGAAGGAAGGAATGCTGAGAAAGTGGCTCAAATGCTGAAGCAGTTTGACTTCTTAAAGGTAAGAGGGACGGGGCGGTAGGGCCCATGCTTCCTGTGCGAGAGGGCAGGGGGTGGGGGATTGATTCCTGCTCTGAATTTCCCCCTTATAGAATGTGAGTTGAGACATTTTCTTCCCGAGTTTTCTGACTGAGGATGAATGATTTGCCACTGGAGATACATATTAAAGCTCTCGGAGGCAGTTTCCAAAGAAATACCTAGCGTGAGTGCTGACCTGTCAGTCCACGGAACAGATGTTTATTGCATAACCTGCGATCACAAGACACTGAACACTACTCAGGGGCCTGTGCGCCATGGTCTTGACCTCCATGGTGTGGGGTGATGATGTTGATGGCCATAACAATGATGATGGCCAACACTACGGTCCCCTGGCCCTCTCCCAGATGCATGTACATTACATTAGCATTTACTCCTGTGATATACAGTGAGTTCCGCTGTCACACGGCCTGTGTTCCTGGAAATCACCATGCTGGGTAAATCCACACCACAGAAGGCGCAGGGCTTATGGGGGAAATGCGCATAGGGGGCAGCACTCAAAAACTTCATCAGCCACATAGAGAGGGAAGGGGGATAGGAACTCATAAGGAGAGCAGCACAGTCTTATGCATTTTAAATGGCTAAGAAATACCGAAGACCATAATCCACGGGGCACCTTGCCTTGATCTGCCTGTGGAAATGGGCTTCAGCAGGCTGCCGCTTGTGAACCGACGTGAGGTGCAGAAAGGTCATCGGATGTGGGACAGGAAGTTGTAACAGTGGGTGCAGGTGACTCACCGCACACGTGAGATTTGAGGTGCGTGTGCGTTTCACGTACTCCCCGGTGGCATCGTGCACTGGGCGCAGCTCCTTGTGCATAGCCTGGTTAGCAGGTGACGGTGTGTGTCATCATCAGGCCACTCTCCAATGTGTCAGCTGCACTGGGACAGATTTGTGTTTCCAAAACAAGGTTGACAGCAGAACTACCCTGTGGGATAAAAGACGCTTGATGTGGGAAGCAGTATCAGATGGTGCAGAGCCATGGCTGAAAGTGTCCCTGAGGCTGCTCTCGAGTGCCCTGAAGATGTGGTCTCTGAGGACTCCTGATGTCCCCACAGGGCACACGGGTTGGCATGAGCGAGATGCATGCCAGCACAGCTGTTATTCCAACAGGTTTTGACCCCTCTGTGGGGCTCATCATTCAGGCACCATGGGGGTCCCTTTACTGGGATGGTACAGGGCTGAGACTTCCTGGTAGTCTTCACGGGGAGCTGGAACTCTGGAAGCCATGGGTCCAGTTCTCTTGACTCAGGAGGCTGGAGATTGTGGGCGTGGTCAGAGAGTCCTCAGCAACCCCTCGTGCTGCTTCCAGCCAAGTGGCCGACCTCCTGGGTTGGGGGCGTCGCAGGTCCCTGCGTGGCCAAGGCTCTGCTGTTCTTGGCTCTGGTGTTCATGTGGCTTTTGGACATCAAGAGGAATTTTCCACTCCCGCTGTCCAGATTAGAGAGGACGTGTCTCTACCAACCCCCTGACCATCCAGACGCTCAGGTCAGGGAAGAAGAGCTGTTTCCATCTAATGGAGAACAAACGTAGGAATGTGTTGTGATAGGAAGGATTGTGTCCTGATAGTCCTTTCTTTGTTTTGGTGGATTCCCAAGAGGAAGTACTAAGTCCACCCAGGATCAAGAGCTCAGAGGGCGTCTGGAAGTGCTCACCAGACCGGGGTGGGGGTGTGTGTGTGGGGGTGATACTGATGGAATGACCCTCCCGTGTCAGGCACTGTTGCGGGTCCTGACGGTGAATCCTCCCACCAGCCACTGTCCCATCTCACCCATGACAGACCTCCAGTAGAGGAGCTTGAGCTACCACCTGGATTTTTTGATTCCATGTCTGGTGCTCATCTCGGGGTTCTGTGTTGCCATTCCCCCCGGCAGGGGTGCCCCTCAGAGCCAGAACTCTGAGCCAGACAAACAACCATCTCCTCCACCGTTTCCATGGAAACAGGAAAATGGTCCCCTGGCTGGGGCCCACTCGCAACTGCTAGACCAAGACTTGTACAGATAGTAATAACACAAATTTTTGAAACGAGGATGCYAGACCGGGAAATAATTAATGCACCGAGGTGACCTGCCGCTGCCAGAACTCGCACACCATTCCTGAGACCGTGGTGGACCGAAGGCTCTCAGAGTCATCAATTCTGCCTAAACACATCACAAGTGGGAAGTGGATTTTGTGCTGCGAAGCCAGCTCGGCTCTTAAAGCTGGAGATGGATTGCCTCTGCTCGCTGGCACCCCGTCACCACATCTGTGCGTAATTAAGCCTCCGCAAAGAGCCTACCTCTCCGCGAGTTTTCCGGAGCTTCTGCGGGGCTTAATGACCTCAGCCCCTGCTAGGAATCTGGGAGCCTCAGATGGGCCCTGAATGCAGATCTGGTGTCAGGGGGACTGGAGGAATGGGAGGGGCAGCCAGGCCCAAGGGTCAAGGTCAGGGCCTGGTGGGTCTGGAGTGAGAGGGTGTGTGCTGCAGAAAGTGGGCGGGGCAAGCAGTGAGGTTTGTGACTGGACTCAGTGACCACTGGGGACCAGGCAGGAAGGGGAAAGCCTTCTAACTGCAGGGCTTGGGAAGGGACAGGAAGGGCGTGTCTGCATGTGCAGAGGAGGGGAGGGGACCGGGCCGACTGATGGCAGGGCCACTCCATGATTTCTCACTTTAAGGACCCTGGGACTCTCCAGAGGCCGGTGAACTCTGAGAGGGTGTGCACACTTTTGGAGGAGCATGGTGGCTTCCTAGACCCAGAGATGAACAACTCCTGATGTGTAAGGTGGGACACTTAGCATTTTTTACAGGCATGTGCCACGGTAGACACTTTCACAGAGGAGGCGCCATTCCTAACCCTATTTCATCCCTGGGGAAACTGAGGCCCAGAGAGGTAGAATCATTTGCCCAAGGTTGCACAGCTGCCAGCGGAAGCAGAAGCAGTCTTTAAATGGAGGCAGCCTGGCCGCGAGCCCGAATGTCAGGCCACTCTTTTGTTCTGCCTTGGGGACACTTTGTGGGAAAGATCTGAATGACCGGGAACTGCCTGTGGCATTGACTCAGCCCTGGTATGAATGAGAGCCCGAGTGAACCGCTGTGTGGTGTCATGGGGCAGCTGACATTTGTCCTGAGGTTGCTCTGTGGCTGGTCCCACTTTGAGCACCAGCGCTCTGCTCGGCTGAGTAGGGAGTGGGGGTGTTGCTTCTGCTGGAGCTGTCACCGCCGTTTTGCTGGTGGGAAGGCTGGCACCCGGAGAAGCGATAAAACACACCCCGAGTCTCACAGCTTGCAGGAGGCAGATCGGGGCTCAGCCCAGCCGTCTGGATCCAGGTCTGACTCTGCTCACCGGCTCCGGTTATGGGAAACCGTGATCCTGGTGACAGGTGCTGGTCCAGAGGAGCCAAAGCATGGGAACAGGGTAGGAGCACAAGGTCAGGCCAGAGAGTGGGGCTGAGGCCCGCCCAGGGTCTGGGGTAGAAATTTCCATAACCTGCTCTTTTCTTGGGGTCAGGATTGGCCTCAGTGTGGGACCTGGTGGAGCCCACAGGTGAGGCCCCTGCTCTGTGGCTGGGAGAGAGTCCTTGGCCCCAGGGTCCTGGAAGCTCTGATCACCCACTTTGATGGAAGAGGCCGAGGCAGGGACTGGTGAGATCTGGCTGTCAGGTGTAGTGACCGCAGGCCCTTCTGCCCACATGGAGATTCGGGGACAAGTCCCCTTCCTAGCTAGCTGGGAGCAGTTTGGCATTTTGGAGGCGTTTTTATTTTATGTCCATCAGCGGAGCTCCTGGACCTCCTGGTGGAACCCCTTCTTCTCCCAGGTTCCATATTCCAGATTTTAGACATGAGCAGACGAAGCCAGGGGCATGTGGACAGGTCATGTGGAGGGAGTGAGGAGTAGGAGGGGAAACTTCAGCACGCCCACGCCTTGGATTGACAAACCCAGGGGACCTGCCGCCTGCTGCTCTTTCCACTGCGGTCATCTCCGGGCAGCCCTTCAGGTTGCCCCGGGAGGCCCTGCTGGGGTCTCCTGTCCCCAGAGCCCCAGGGCCCACTGGCCAAGCTTAGGTCTCCAGACAGTGGGGAGAAACTTATCCCGGAGGAACGGCCCTTTCATATGGAAGCCACAAACAAAACCACAGCAAACGCTACTCATTTTTAAGTCACTTTTTGAGAAGTGCTAAATCTAAATGTTAAGCTCCAAGTAGCAGAGAGGCACAGACTGCCCTGCTGGCCCAGGGTTCCCAAACGGCAAAACCCACAGGGAAGTGGCGGAGCTGGAGATGGCACCTCGATTTCAGTGGGAGCTGCGGTTCCGACCAGCTGCACTGTGTGCGCCCATCACCGAGATGGACGGCTGGCACCTTGCCAGCAAGGGAGAAGGGGGACAGTCAGTGACCCGCAGAGATCAGCAGCTCAGGGACAGGAAGCAGGTCGGAGGTGGAGGGCCACTCTCTCCTGCTCGATGAGCTTGGGTGGCTCTTATTCTCCAAACTCTTTGAATTGGCTGCCCTGGTTGTTTTTAGTGGTCAGAGGGAGCAAGGCCACCAAAACCGTGGGGCAGCATAGCAGTTAGGAATCTCCCTGGCCCGCGTGGTACTGATGGGGTCACCCACTCGTGACACTGTGGAAGCCCTTGGTGCATGGTGGCCTCTTGCCTACTCCTGGGGAAATCTGTTCCCCTTTGGGCTTTTAGGTGTTCTCAGAGTCAGAAAGGGTTGGAGATACACTCTTAGAGAGCTAAAGGCACCATTAGCAGTGTCTTCAACAAAAGAAATATGTTTTCCTCCCATATCAAGAAGGCGTGCCGCCATTGCCTGCTCATATTGTTTTAGTATTGTGACAGTGTCCGGGCTGGCATCTCAAGATTTTCTTGGATTTTTTATTTTATTTTATTTTTCTCTCATGATTGCAAGATGGCTGTTGCAGCTCCAGGAATTGCACTTACTTCCAGGGCAGGCAAAGAAGGGGATGAGTAATGTCATACAAACATCCCTTTTTTTTTTCTGGACCAAAAAAAAATTAAGAAAATAAAAACCTTCCCCAAATTCCCAAGCCAACTTCCAGTTGGTGTGATATGCCAGAACAGTGTCACATGACCAGACCTATTATGAGGCAGGAAGGGTAAGTGTTGAGTTTTCATCTCTGGGAAGAGGAAGGTTGGAAATAGGTGATGGGTTCAGGCCCACCATTGTCTGCCACAGGGCTCTGTCGGAAACTGGCACATGGAACAACATATATCACCTGGTGTAAGTTCATTCATTCTTTCAATACAAGTAGCACATTAATTTACCTGGTGAAAATGCTGAGATGACCTAGGATCATGGGGGGGACCCTAGCTGGGCCTGGCAGGGTGCTGGGGAGGGGGAAATTTTTTTTKGGGGGGGTACTAGGGATTGAACTCAGGGACACTTGACTACTGAGCCACACCCCTAGCACTATTTTATATTTTATTTAGAGACAGAGTCTCACTGAGTTGCTTGGTGCCTCTCTTTTGCTGAGGCTGGCTGTGAACTCGTGATCCTCCTGCCTCAGCCTCCCAAGCCTTTAACATTGACGTGCCGCTGTGAGCATTTCCTGTATTTCTCTCCCAAGTCAAAATTTTGGTTTGGGCTTTTAACTGGAGGACACTGAGGAAAGCCATCTATTCTGAGGCCCCCAAACAGGAGGGGTCTCTGCCCGCCTGAGGACCAGGGCCACCCGCCTCCTCTCCTAGATTCCGCTCTTCTGCCTGGGAAGTAGCATCTGGCTCTGTCCCTGTGTCCTCTGCGCGACTCCCAGCCTCCCCTGACGCCCTGGCCTTCCCTTTCCTGTTCCAGGTCCCCCGGATCTTCTGGGAGCTGTCCACCAAGCGGGTCCTCCTGATGGAGTTCGTGGAGGGCGGGCAGGTCAACGACCGCGACTACATGGAGCGGAACCGGATCGACGTCAACGAGGTGAGGTCCAGGGGCGGGGCTTGGAGGGGCGGCCTGGCGAGTCTGGGAAGTCCCATGTGGCAGGAGGCTCCCCCAGGCCCTCGGCCCAAGCCGCTTTGCTGGTGGGACACGGGGATGTGCTGGGCCTGCTGCAGCCGTTGCCCATCTTTCTCACCATTTAGCCCCACAAGCCAAAAATAATGGAGTAAAATCAATGCGACGTGGCCCTCCTGCCTCTGTGGGGCCTGATGACGATCTTGTCCCTTCTGCCTCCCCACCTTCTGCCGAGGACTTCAGCCACCAACTGCAAATGCTTTCCAGAGCCAGGGGGATGGTGGCCCTGAGTCCCCACTCTGTGCCCTGATCTCAGGGACAGCCAGCTAGTGGGCAGGGCCTGTCCCCCGTGTTCTGCTTCCTGGTCACCTGGGGTCCCTCTACGGGAGGGGGCCATGCTCTTTCAACAGCATTCATCCTCTTCCTAGTTCCTGCAGGTGCTGGTGTGGGGGTTCAGAGGGGACCAGACCCAGTCCCCAGAGCCTCACGTGGGAGCCGGACACCAGCCAAGCCCTCACGGCCCTCCCTCAGGGAGCAGGGGGGCTGTGAGCAGGACGCTGGGAGCCTAAGGGTTGCAGTTGGGGGACGAAGCTGGGCGGGGAGCAGGTGGTGAAGGGCTTGAGGGTGGCTCTGGAGGTCCTGGGGAGTCACTGAAGGGTTTTGGCCTGGAGACTCAAGTGCGGGGACACCGTCTACCTCATCGCTGGGTGGGAGGAAAGAGGGGAATGGACCAGACCCAATCAGGCCAATGGTCTTCTCCATTCACCCCCCACCGGGCAACACAGGAAGAAGAGCATGTGGTCCCAGTGGTGACATGGCCCAGAGGAGAAAGCCACACTTGGCTCAGCAGATGAGCCAGGGAGATGGCAGGGAGTGTGGGGTTGCCCAGGCCTCCCRGTGGCTTTGCAGCCTTGATAGGTGGGGGCTGGGATGGAACGTGCCTTCAAGGAGGGGCTGTGAGGACTGCGTGAGTTCCGCAGGGACACCTGAGCACGGACCTGGCGTTAGCACCCAGGAGGGAAGCCACCTCTCCTCGCCCTGCTTCACCTCCTTCTACCCTTAGCGTCTGAGGAATGCCCGCCCCCCAGTGTAGGCACCCTGGTCATCAACAACCTGTATGTGCCAGGCAGGCGGCACAGGATCTGGTCTCCTTACAGGTGTGTTGTCAGGTGCGTGTTATGAACCTCTTTGATGAGGGAGAAGTCTGATATTCAGAGAGGTTCAACACCTTGCCCCACATCCCACAGCTAGCAGGGGCAGAACAGGATTGGGACCCAGGCATACAGACTCCAGAGTCCTGGCTCCCTTCCCTTCTCCGTCCCCCTCCCAGAGATCTCTGTTGGGCTGCAGGGGAGCCTGGAGCCTCCCGGGTGGAGGCCACCTTGGTGACTGCACAGGGAACTGGACAACTGGCCAGGCTTTGCCCCTGGCCCTAAGCTCTGAGCAGCCCACGGCTCTGTTTCATAGTGTCCCATTGTCTGCGCCGAGCTCCAGGAGGCGCTGTGAGGCCGTAGGAGCTGAGATGCAAGTGGGGCCTGGCGCAGGGCCTGGGGCATGGTGTGAGCGCCCAGGTGGCAGCTGGACCACGGCTGCTGTTTCCCTTGTCCTGGGCCCTACTGTGTCTTCCTCTACCCCCTTTCCTACTAGCTGCCACCTAGCTGCTCTCCACGTGGTGGACTGCGGGTGGGTGACAGCTTCCATTTTGCAGGTGAAGTGTCAGAGACCCAGAGGGGAAGGTGACTTACCCAAGGTCACAGATCTCCTCCTCACACTTCGCACACCCAGCAAGCTTTTGGAGATAAAGGTGTCCACCATTTCTAGCTCCCTGGAAGCGCCCTCCTGATCCGTCCCAGTCACACCCTCACCCCCTCCAAAGCTGCCGCTGCAGTGACCTCTGTCACTGTGGCTGCTTTCACCTCCTGAACTTCATGTCAGTGGCATCACGCAGTTTTGGGGTCTGGCCTCTTGGTCACCAGTCAGGTGGGAACCTTCTCTGAGTTCTCTCTTCTGTCCTGCTGACCTCTGGCTCTGTCTTCACAACACGGCCCTGCCCTGGGGCCCTGGGGTTTGGTGGCTGGGAGGCTCTTTGATGCGCTGAGATGATGTCCTCAAATACTTCCCTCCTCAGAAGCCTTGGGCCGGGCAGTGGGTGTGGGCCAGGTGCTCTGCAAGCTGTCCCTGACACCAGGGTGGTAGGAGCAGCCCAGGGACAGGCTTCACTCTGCAAAAACGAATCTATCGTGCATCTCACCAGCCAGCAGGGAAGGCCCGGGCCTCGCAGGGTGGAAGGCTCTAGGTGCCTTGAAGTTTCAAGTGGGCCTCTGGACGCGCGGATGCCAGTCCTGGGGTGACCACCCTCCAGAGGACGCCCTGGCTGTGTTCCTGGGGAAGGAAGTGCAAGGGACAGATAGAAGTGGCAGGGTGCAAAAATCCTACTCCAGATCCTGGGGTCGTGGCGTCCTGGCTGCTGTAAACTGGTGCCTGTGCTGGAAGGTGGTTCTGGAAGGGACCCCTCTCGATGGCCCCAGAGCCTGCACCCACTGGTTGAGTCAGCCCCACTGCAGTCGGCACCCCTGTGAGGACCTGAACCCTGGGCTGACTAGCCGGTCCCGATGGACTCGGGGACGCACCAGGTTGGGAGGCCAAAGACATAGGTTCAAGCTCCAGCCCTACCAGTGGCTGGCTGTGTGGACGTGGGCAAGTCACCTGTCCTCTCTGGTCCTCAGGGATCGCTGTCCTTTCCTTTCTGTTTTAATAGGGGGGTCTCACTGTGTCACCCAGCCTGGTCTTGAACTCATGATCCTCCTGCCTCTGGAGTGGCTGGGGTCGTCAGTTTTCTTACTGAGGGTGTTTGACTAGCTGGATTCCAACCAAGGGTCCCTTCTACTTGAACATTTTACCCAACAGGGATTCTTCAGCTCTGGGGGTGCTGACAGGGGTTCAGGAGCCATCTCTTTCAGAATCACCTGAGAGCATACTTAGCCATGCTGACTCCTGGGCACCTCCCCAGCCTTGTGAATCAGGATCTGCTGGGCAGGTGGCAAAAGGGGGCACGATCTGCATTTAACAGACCCTCTGTGTGGTTCAGACCCTCACTGCAGCTCAGGACCCCACCCGGCAGGAAGCCAGAGGCTCCTGCCCCAAGCTCCGCTTCTTACCTCCAGGCGGGAGATGGCCCACCCAGGGTACTCACCTGCTGGGGAGTAGGGCCCTGGGAGCCAGCAGCCTGCATGGCCCTCATTTGTTTGTGTCTCTGCCCAGAAGCAGATATCACGGAGGGCCCGACCCGGTGATCATATTTGCCAGTCACTTAGAGAGCTGGCGACAGCCACTGTCATTGATCTCATTAAAAGTAAAGGGCGTGCGGAGCCCGTTTTGCAGGCTGGATGGAGCCTACTCGAGCCCCAGAAGGACTATTGATTGCGGAACCTTTATCGAAGGTTAATTGGATTTCAGTGAATGTGTGTTTAAGACCCTGCCTGGGCCGAGGCCCAATTTAATTGGCATGAAATTAGCCAAGAGAAAGGTGACAGAGCCGGGAACAGAGGGGCAGCAGGGACGGAGGATGGGCCCGGTGGGCAGACGCTGGCGGGAGGGGGCTGTCCCTGGGGTTTGGGAGCTGGCTGGGAAGGAGGTCCAGGGGCTCCTTGCTGTCACCATGGTCTCGGACTCACTCCCCTGTTCTCAGGATGGCACTCCTGTGTGTTGGGTGCCCCTGAGCGGCTGTCTGTTCCCCTCTGTCAGGGATGGAAGGGGACCTGGGGACTTAGCTGAGATGTTTAGTCATTTAACTAATCCTTCTCCAGAACCCCAAAGCCCCATGTTCAAAATTGCTGGGGGACCCGAGCCTCCCCGGGGCTCTGAGGTGGTGAACGTGGAGTGTCCCGTGGCCAGCTTGGGGGGCCATGCCTTCTGGCTGGCTGAGTCCTCCCAAGGTGGCTGGCCACCCCTGAGGCCAACGCAGCTTGGCTCATCTCATCTCTTTGGCTCTTCTTGGTCCTTCCACTTTTTATGTGGGAATGGGATTTCACCCTCGTTTTCCTTTAGTCATCTTAGAGGGGTTGGCGAGGGCCTGGGGTAATGGCTTGGGTTCACTCCGCCACGTTTAACCAGAAACCCTGCTGCTGCTTTCTTCCCATAGTTTTTTTTTTTTCTTTCTTTCTTTTAGTTCGATGGACCTTTGTTTTATTTATTTACTTACGTGTGCTGCTGAGGATCGAACCCAGGGCCTCACACATGCCAGACAAGCGCTCTACCGCTGAGCCACCACCCCAGCCCCCTCCCATAGTTTTAAAGTCCATTCCATGTCCCTCTTGGAGCAGTGAAGGTTTCGGCGCATGTCTTATTAAGCACCTACTATGTGCAGCTGCCCATCGGTGCTATAATAGAGGTGTGGACAGAGTGTGGCAGAGCAGGGGGGCTTCACAGAGGTGCTGGGTAGGAAGCAGAGAGGGTTTCAGAGTCAGGACATCCGGGGTTGCGTCTGGCTCTGCCATTCCTCGGCCAGGTGCCCTGGGGTGGCTCACTTGTAGTCTGAGCCTGCTCATCTTCACAGTTGAAGGGATAACGACACTTCTCGACACTGCTGTGTGAACTTTGCAAGCCGTGAGGCTCTATTTTGAAAGTCATCTGTAATTCACAATGCATGAGGGTCCCGTTCACAGAGGCAAGTTCTCCTCCAGAATCTCCTTTGCTCCTTCCCTGTTCACCAGCCTCTGGAATCTGCAGGTATGTGGACCTGGAGTGGAGCATGAGGCCTCTGGTGCCCCCTCCAAAAGCCACGCCAGGGTTCCTGCCTCTGATCCCCACAGTGAATGGGAGGATCACGTTCCAGCTCAGCTCACTCCCAGCTGCTGGGCCTTCCTGGCCCTCTGGTACCTGCAGATGCACGAACACCCTGTCTACTGACCCTGTCTGCTGACGTCACTAGAAAGGCGACACCTTCTGTCACCCTCTCCCCATCACTT